ACAAAGCAGGGAGATATTTACAGCTTTGCAATCATCTGCTCAGAACTGATTGGAGGTACCAGCGCCTGGGATATGGAAAATCGGGATGAAGATGTGGAAGGTTTCTAATGCACTTTATAATTTTTACCTAATAAGAGATTTTACAAGAACATGATCTGGAGGTAGGAATCAAACAACAATTGTAAATGTATTTTTGAGCTCCTAAAAGATTCTTCCAAAATTTTGTTTTTTTGAATATGGAAGCTCTTTTGCTAGATCTAAGGAATAATCTCCACCGCGAATATCCAATGCTCCCTTTTTTTAAACATAACATCTTTCACATAACGCCCATTTCATTTTTCTCCAATTTTCTAGTTTTCTTTGGTTCAAGAACAGAAGAAGTCACGGCTAAAAGCGTGATATAATAATGTAACTCATGAAATAATGCTTCTTCTACTACTAGAGATACTTTTTAAATTCTTTATTTTCATGCTCTCAAAATATGAATACTAAAGACACCTTTTAAATTCTTTGTTTTTATGCTTTTGAAATATGAACTATTTGCTTTGTTTCTCTTAGTGGTCAATTAAAAATGCCATTCAAAGGCAATATTATATTTCATGAAAATTCTAGACAAAAATTAAAGTTTTGAATAAATTTATCAGTAAGTTACTGGTTTCTTACTTGTCCTTCCTTGGTTGCATCTTGCCTCAAAGCGTTATCTGATTATTTGCCTAAGTTCTCAGTTATTTATTCCAAAGGTTGTATTAAGAATGGACTCTAAGGTGAGATGCGTGTCAAAATGTCCACCTCTTTACCATGCACTTGACCGACTTTCGAGTTCCAATGCAGCACAGGATTTCATTCTGTCATCTTTCGAGATTTCTCAAGGGGGTCTTCTTATGTCTACGCTGAGTCTTCTTACGGTTGATTCGCAGCCCTATCTGCTTGCCTACTTCGTTTAGTTCCTTCAGCATCGTCTCCGCTTCAGTGATACTTTTCGAGAAGAGAAACGGTGTCGTCTGCCACATCAACTCGTATACCTCCCTCGTTCCAATTCAGTGACTTCATCACCCACTGCAAGGCGGCGGTAAACTCTCACGTAAGATGGGTCCACCCCTTGGTCGACAAGCGCTGACAGTATGGTATTAGTCTCGACGCTGTCAAACGCTTTCTCGTAC